GGTCTGGAAATCTGTGACTGCATCTCCATCGCTTACATCTACGTGTGTACTGTGAAATCATTACGGAGTAGACCATCTCCCGGCCAGTGTTCAGCTGCCCTGGCTCAAGGACTTGCATCTTGACACTGGAATGATTACACCTCAGGAATGGGTAACGCTTCAGTCCAAGGCCCACAGGGCACAGAAATCAGCCTAGCGTGAGTCACTCTCCTGCTCACTTCATGTCGCCCAAACACAGTGCTCCCTGAGACGCAGAACATTCCAGACTTCCTTCCTGATATGCCTAGCTTCCTGCAGAGGAAGCAACAGGCCTTTGTCTGAATAAAACATCTCATCTGTGGAGTTGCTGAAGGGGGAGGAAGTGAGGGCCCCAGGGGCCTGGGACACAGGCCAGAGAGGCCAGAGCAGCCACAGGCCACTGCACTGCAACCTCCCCCAGCTCCGAATGGGAAGACACCCAGTGGTAGGTAACGAGCTCACAGGCAGCAGGGCCACAAGGCCCTGGGCGCTAACACCTCTCGCTAGAGACATGAGGATCTGGCTGGTCCATTTCTTTAAGGTGAAGGAAGAGACAGAGACCTGGGGAAAGGAAAAAGGAGACAGGAAGGAACCGGCTCAGATGCCAAGTAGAGGGAGAGTGGACTTTGCCTTGTTCACGGTCCTGTGTTTTCCACATGGAAAATGAACACACCCCACTTTGGGGGCAGGGAGAAGGGGCCCCGGCAGCTCCCAGGGGAGCAGCCAAGGCTATTGTCCTACCCCCCAATGTAACTCCAGAGGCACCTGCTCTGGGGCCCAGCCTTGGGCCCCTCTGGGCCCACAAAGGGACCATTGTTCTCTACCAAGTGACATCATTCTGCAGCCAGGACGGGTGAAAAGAAACCTGAGGTTGGGAGGGGCCTGGACAAGTGACATCATGCCAGCCCTGGGGTGCAGCTGGAAGCCTGGATACCTGGCAGGGGGCAGTGGCTGGAGAGGGAGGAGGAGGGGCCACATGGCTAAACTGACCCCTCTGCAGAGCCAGTATCCAGGAGGACGAACGTGCAAACTGTACCCAGTCCACAGCAGGTGCTTACTAGATGCAATGGACTGTACCTGGTACACAGAAGGTACTTAACAAAAGATGCAACAACCATGCTCAGAACACAGCAGGCGCTCAATAAGTAAATGAGGACTGATTCTGTCCTCATTCCACACAGGCCCATGGTGATGAGCTTCGGGTCCCAAGCCTCGGGAGAGTGCAGCTCAATGCCCTCACCAGAGCTCATGGCCCTGCCTGGCCAGGCCCTGTCCGTCTGTCTCCCTGCCGTCCTGAGGACCTCTTCCCACTCGCTGTCACAGTCACCCTGGCCAGGGGGCTCTTCATGCACGCCAGGCTCAGCACTGCCATGGGATGCACCACAGGGGCCTCAGGCCTTGGCCTCCTTGGTGCACTGAGCATCACCTCGTGACTGCCTAACTGTTTCCCGCTGCCCCCTGCTGCCCCCTGCAGCCCCTTCTTTGGGAGCCAGCACAGGGAGGGAGGACACCTCTGTTTCCGGGAGCCCTGAGAGGCAGGGAGCGCTCAGGTGGCACCTGTCCCTGAAGAGTGACAGGGAAGAGATGGCTAGTGACGGGTAAGATCTTCTCTGGTGCACATTTGCCTGCCTCTCCCAGGACAGACCCCAGACTATCTGTGTCCTAAGGTCCAGTCTCGCTCATTCTCCTTGAGCCTTGCTTTACTCCAGGGCAAAGGTAAGAGCTGAGGATGGAAGAGAGGCGAGCATAGACCACAGGGCAAGAAGCCATGGGTTCCTGGTCCAGGTGAGGCAGGGGGAGGGCCTGGGCCGGTGGCTGGGACAGTGACCACAGGGGGACAACACTTGGAGCCTCACTCACATATAGTTTAAGCTAGGGATGCGGAGGCAAAGCCAGCATGGGTTATCCCGGTGGCCTGGAAGCGTCTTAACTGAGGGGTGAGGGGTGCCACCACGGCTAAGTGCAGCCTGGGGCAAAGGCGGTGGGGTCCAGACCTGTGGGCGCTTGCCTGGAGAAGCACTCAGGAAGGCGCTGGCCGTGTGGGTGCAGAGGAGGCCACTCCAAGGCGTCCACGCTTATCCCGGGTACTGAAAGCACCGGGAGCTGACAGAGCGTTCCTGAAGCTGCGCACAGACAGCGCAAATACTGCATCGGCTTACAAGCGGATCCTGAGTATCTCAGGTTTGGTACCCATGAGGGTTCCAGAACCCATCCTCATAGCTGGAACGGATGACTCGTACACCAGGAATTCTTAGAGAGGGAGGCAGGCTCGAATCACCCTCCAGACACATCACAGGGTGCCCAGTTCACAGATGGGAAGAGCGAGGCAGTGAGGGTCGATTTGGCCTGGCTAAGATCATCAGCCAGCCCCTGGGGAGCTGAAGGCCAGGTCCTCTTCAGCTGTGTGCAGCACGCAGAGGTCTCCCAGCCAGCCCCCCTCACCACACACGTGCACACGCGCACATGCATGCACGCGCGCATATACACAATCTCACCACAGACAAACACAGACACCACAAACACACCACACACCACAACACAGACACAAACATCACAGGCACCACAAAAACACTACACACACACACATGCACACATGCACACACACGCACACACACTCACCACAGATACCACATACACACCACACAACACAACACACACAACACAGACACAAAGGCATCACAGACACAAACATCACAGGCACCACAAACACACTACACACACACACACACACACACACACACGCACGCACTTCTGACTCTTCATGTCCAGACCTCCCAAGACTGACACCGCCCTGTACCTCTGTGTCCCCCGGGTCCCCACCCTGCCTCCCCACCTCCCTACTCTGTGTTTGTAACACACCCAGCCTCCTTTCTCTGCACAGTGACCCTTCCTGCCTCCTGGGGCCTGGACAGAGTATTGTTTTATTTCCCAGCTCTCTTATCTGGGACAGCTAGAAACCAGCCATCAGCCAACAACTTCAAGGCTTGGGGAGATGTTTCCCGCCAGGCTGCCAGGGACCCTCGTGTACACAGAGCCTGAGGCCCTTTTCTGGATGAACAGAGCTGAGGGAGATGGTTGAAGTCAATCCTGTAGGAGGAGAACCAGGGCTCAAAGCCCTGCCCACTCCTGCCCACATGTTCTGAGGCTTATGAAGCTCCCACCCATAAGACAAATATTTAAGTGAAGTCTAGAGTGAAAGAGGTGTGTGTGGATTCCCCCCTGAAAGCTCTGAAGGCAGTTTGAGAGAAAGGACTTGGTTGTCATGCACACAAGCCATACAAAGTGTCACACCCACCACTCCAGTGTGCCTTGGCTGCCCAGCGCCCCATTCCTCAGAGGATAGAGAGAAGATCCAGAGAGGGCAGAGGGTACTGGCCCAACCAGGGTCACACAGCCAGGAGGTGGCGGGCTGGGATTCCAACCTCATGCACAAATCCCCACACCACACAGTAGGGCGTCTTGGCCCCCAAACAGATTTACAAGTGCTCACCCAGTATGTGCCAACAGGGTTCACTCCATCTCAGAACAAGGCCCCTCACCGGACAGAGGGAAGCTGAGGTTTAAGAACGTAGGAGGGACCTGGAGGCCCACACTAATTCAGCATGTATTTACATGGCCAGCTGCCCCGGGTACCCACCGTGTGAGTGAGGGGCCTGAATTCTATCAGTCATTCCTTCACTTGCGTGGCCACCGGGGAGGCCGGCCTGTCACTGTATGAGCAAGTTGCACATGCACAGAGATTTAGGGCAGTGACCAGAGTCACACAGCACCTGAAGGATTAGGGCAGAGGGCAGGGGACAGAGCCAGTGTCTCCAGTGAGAATCCTGGGGAGCCGGGAAGGAGAAACCGGGACAGAGAAGAAAGATTACCTCCCTTCCTTAGGCTAAGCTGAACCTTTCAGGGAATGGGTGGGGCTCTGACTTGTGAACTCAAGGCCCAAAGGGGTGCAGACCCCCAGGCAGGAAGCTCCCGTGACCAGCCTCCCAGCATGGCTTCTAGCCCGGGTGAGCCTGTGCCTGGTCCCTCTGTGACTCAGGCCAGTGCAGGACGGCAGTGTCCCTGCAGCTCTGGGGGAAGCTGTGAGCTCCCTAGGGAGCTGTGCGGAGGGTCTGCCCAGGATCACCTCACCCAAAACTGGCCCCATAATGGCCACTGGTTCTGGTGGCCCCAAGGAGCTGTCTGAGTCCTGTGTCTGGCCTCCTGAGAACTGGGCCAGCTCAGCCCAGGGCAGAGGCCAGCTCTCTGAAGGCACAGGACACTGTAGCTAAGTTCACTCCTGGTTATTGGGGTGATGGTGTCCCCGAAGTTACCAAAGGTCCAAGAAACCTCTCATCTCCCAGCCAGACTTCCCGCACCTCGCTGCGCATGCCCATCGGCCACCCTTCCTTCCCCTGACCTGCCAGATGACACTTGCTCAGCTCTCCACTCACGGGCTATCATGGCCCTGGTCTCCCACCCCTTAAAAAGAGACAGCCTGGAATGCGGTAGCTGTCCCTGAGCGCTCCACCCTCACCAAGCCTGAGCTCCCAGGCCAGTGAGACAAACCCCTGCCACCTGACGCCCCCCCAAGACTGCTAGGCCTCAGAATTCACACAGGATCTCACTTTTTGCTCAACGGCAAACAGACAACAAATAGCCTTAACACAAAGCACTTGTGACAAGACCACTCGGTCACTCTGGGAGGGCAAAAGGAGAGAGATAGAGCAGGTGTCAAATAAGCTTCCCTAAAAATAGAGACGTGAGCATGTGTTGTGGGGGCTGCGGTGTCCTCAAGCAGGCCTGTTCACAGACAAGGAGCCTGGAGTTGGGTCCCCATCACCATCGAGGATGGGGTTTTACACCTCCAGGGCCTCCTCCTACTTCCCATCAGTGTCCCAGAGCCTTCCCTGGCTGTCGCCGCAAGCCAGCCCCCTCCCACGAGTCCGAGGGTAGCCCTCCCAGGGTAGCCCTGCAATTTCAAACCACACCGAACCCCAGCTTACAAGATCGGGGGCCTCGGAGTCCGGCTGTCTCTTTCTGAGGGATGAGAACCTCTGTTGGCTGCGGGCGGAGAAGCGGCGGAAGGACTCTCGGCTCCGAGAGGCCAGGTGTCGGAAGGAGGAGGCGCGCTTGAACGGGTGGCGGCCGGCAGTCTCCCCGCTGCGCTCGGCGCCCACCGCGGCCGACACGACATGCAGAGCCTCTTGGAAGGATCGTCTCACTGTGCCCACCCACTGAGTCATGTGTGTCTGGGCCACGGAGAGTTTGTCACCCAGGTAATCCATGAGGCCAGCCTGGAGGAGGGGGCAGGCGGGGGCACTTAGGAGGCCAGCGCTGCCAGGGTCCTGGCCCCTCTGTCAGCCGTCCTTGGGAAGAAGTTCTGAGCTCCGACAGAAAACCGGGCAGGACGCATCAGCCCCAGTAAAGTAAACATGGCCCAACAAGAAACCGCGGGTCACAGAAAATGGGGACAGTGACGGGTCAGCAGCAGGTCACCAGCGAGAGCATCAAGTCAGCCAATCAGGACGTCCAGTTCTAGTCCCCGGGGCCAACACTGCTGGACTGGAGACGCAGGTGGCTATGCGGAGCAGGGCGAGGGGGCTGGCACCCCAAACTCACTTCCCTCCGTGCAGGTAGACTTCCCAGGTACACCCGGGCCGCCACCCACCGCAGACTGCCTGCCCCAGGCAGAGTCTTCTCACCTAAACCGGGCGGACCTCCAGTCCTCGAGCTGGGGACTAACCCCGAAGCTGAACCTGCCGGCGGCGGCAGGCAGCGCGCACACTTCCGGGAGGAGGCAGCCACCGGCCTGGGTCCCCTGGCCCGGCAGCCCGGAATGACATCAGCCCCCAGTCTTGGCGAGGGGTGCACAGCCCAGGAATGCAGGAGGGGCCTCGGTGGGAGGCGGCCGCCTGGGAGCTGGCGTCAGCCCCAGTTTTGTTACCCCCCCCCAAGTCTCAACTCGCTCGATCACTGTCCCTCGGGGACTTCATGTGCCAGACTGCCTACCCACCCCGGTCGACACCGTGTAGAAATGCTGTTGCTGGGCGTGCGGGGGTGTGCGCGCATGTGGGGGCATGTGCGTGGGAGGCGCGGCTGCCCCGGGGAAGCGGAGGGGTGCGGGGCTGCCCCGGGGAAGCGGAGGGGTGCGGGATCTGGCTTGTGCCTCTGGGGCTTCAGGTGGAGTCTGAGGACCTGTGGCTGGCTGTCGGTCTGTCTCCCTCTCCTGGTGGCGTCTTCGGCTTCCTCTCCCTGAGAATCTGACTACACTTGCCGAGCTCCAGGCCCCTCCCCCTTCTTTTCCTCTCAGCCAATCCTGCCGCCTCTCCTGGAGGGTGGAGGATGCAGGTGACTGGCCCTGAGTTCCCGAGAAGGGTGGATCAGGGGCTGAGGTACCTGCATTTTGATACAGGCAGGGTTACCATGGCAACCTGGGGCACAGCAATCTGCCCCTTCCCCACGCTGGGCACAGGAGACATGGGGATGATTCATATGTTCAGGGGATCACATGACTCACTGGGTTTAACTCTTAAGGGCTGGAGCACGGTGTGTTGTGTGTGTGGGGGGGTGGTTATGATAAAACAGAATTGGGTGAGGACTGGACAGGGAGAAGCATCCGTGTGTAGTGGGGCTCTGGACCTTCCTGTCGGGATCCATTCCCCTCTCAGCCCCTTCTACAGGTGAGGAAATGCCAGCTCAGAGAGGTGGCTGCACTCGTCCGAGGCCACACAGCCACAGGGTTGTCAAGGCTTGCGAGGAACGGGATCGGATCCCTCTCCACTGCTGTGTGTAGTCTACCCCGCACCTGCCCCACTGTGAGGGCTCCGAAGTATCCGAGTGCCAGGCCAAGTCCAAGGTTGGAGCCCACATCTGCCCAGCCTGCCTGGTGTGATCTCTGGCAACACCCCCTCGCTCCGTCCTGAATAAATATTTGCTCTCCAGACACCAGCCTTGCCAGAGTAAGTCTACCCTGAAGGCCCCGCTGACAGTGTCTGCAGGCTGAAGGTCTAGAGTCCGTCCTCCCCCTTCTCCCCATGCCCGCCCTTTGTGCCAGCCCTCTGGCCCCGGCACTGACCATGTGTTATTATGGGAGAGGGGGTCGTCACAAGGATGCACCGTGGCTACTGACGGACACCACATCATCTAACCCTGAAGACCCTTCCAAGGATCCCGTTCTTAACCCTGAAGACCCTTCCAAGGATCCCGTTCGCCAATAGGGGAGACTGAGGCCCAGAGAGCTGAGTCACACACACGGTTGGATGCTGTGTGCTGCCTCGCAGAGGACCCCACTCCCACCCCCAGGCCAGGGATCCCCGCTTATTCTTACACTGGAGCGGCCCCTCCCACAGTGTATCAGGGTTGGTCCCCGAGCTCAGCGCAGTGAGGATGGCTCTCCTGGGTGGCTCTGATGCATGCTGCTGGCAGCCATGATGAATGGTCAGGTGGGGTCACAGGAAAGGCCCACAGGGAAGAGACCAGGGATCCATGCTAACACCATGGCTGGCCACTGGATGGAGATGGTACCCATCCCCAGTCAGACCCCAGGACAAGAACCCTGGCCAACTTCCTGACCAGAATCTTGTAGAGACAGACCTTAAGCCTGGCCACCCGTCCAAGCTGCCCTCAACCTCCTGGCCCTAATCACAAGACTCTGAGGCAAGGCAGACTCTGGAACTGCGGAGGTGAAGAGAGGCTGGCTCACGGTGGAGGGTGGGCCTCTGACTGGGGTGAGATGTTACCCCAGCCTGCATCCCTGCGTGAAGATGAGGAAACATGCCAGAGGAGGCATACCCACCTCCATCCCCAGCCCCTAAAGGATGCTGCACCCACAGTGACCTCCATAAGAAGGTCACAGCAAACCCCTGCCTCAGGCCTCACAGACCTCCCAGGTGATCAGGAGTATGCAGGACAGGGACGGTCTGTGGCCGCTGACCCCACAGTTCATGATGGACATCACATGTGAGAATCAGCCTCGGAAGGAAGAACACACAGCGGCTGAAACGGAGCGTCCAAATAGGAACAAGAAGCCAAGAGAGGTGGGCGGACTGGAGCCGCCAGGAGGGAGGGGGCTCCATCGCACTGACCACACTAACCTTGGCTCTTCCAGGACCGAGTCTCTGTACCTTCTGGGATTTCGCTTTCATTTTTTTTTTTAATGTACTCATTTAAAATATTATTTATCTTGATTACTGCTTTGTTGTTTGCTGGCCTCACGTGACAGCCTTACCCTGGCCCCTTCTGCACTGGATCAGCTAAATCAAGCATGCTCTGCTACTGGTTTTAGTCAGCCATGAGTCCCTGAACATGTAACTAAATCTCTCCGATTTCTTCCACAGATGAAACCACCAAGCGCATGCTTGTCGTGGACGTGGTTGGTCGCCCCATTCCTGCCCTTACTTCTATAGGGCACACTTGCCCTCCTGGCCACGGATGAGCCAGCTGTGCCATCACCACCCCTGGAACATGGTCTGGCTCAGGGCAATACACAGGGGTTCACCACCAAGACCAGCCTGCGAATAAATCAAAACCCAGGCTCCCCGTCTGCAGGGAGTGTAAGCCATGTTGGGGCAAATCTCGGCAGACACCTGTGTCCTCAGCTCTGTCACTGCTCCACAATTTATCTGAGGAATGCCACCAGTATACAAGTCCTCACCTGTTTCTGCACACAGGCACCAGGCCAAAAGCATTCTGCCACCGTCATCACTGTCCCGAGCGCCAGCTGTGTGCCCAAACACCAGAGCACCCTGTCCCACACCACGCAGCATGTCACTGGGAAGGTAACGGTGCCGCTGTGATGCACAGTGTTAAGGCATTGCGTTATCACACAGGCCACCATGTTGCCTCCCTGCCACACCTTGTCTGTTCCTGCCAGCCATGCAACGGGCTCCACCCCACTTTACAGACGGACAGACAGTACAAGGCACAGAGAAGTGACATGGCCAGCCCCATGTCACACAGCTGCAAGTGGTGGAGTAACACGGTGGGTACCGGCATTCAGCCTCCTTCCGAGAGACGAGCTGAGCAGAGTAAGGAAGCCAGATGCCTGCTGCTCACTCTGGCTTCCAGTGGCACCACGTGCTCTGGGAGTGGGGCTATAGAAAGCGTCACTCCTGAATCTGGGGCAGCACAGGCGTGCCCCGAGAGAGCTCTTTCTGCAATCGCTATTCTCTCCAGGAAACTCTGGGGACGCCACAGGCATCCTGAAAGCAAACCTTCCCTGCGCAAGGAATCTGCAAAGCAGGGGTAACTGTGGGGACCCAGAGGGAACGGAGGATGTCAACCACCGTGTGTGGTGGGACAGGGAGCCCACAGGTCTCGAGAAGGGAAGAATCTGTCATTCATTCATTCATGCATGCATGCATTCAACAAACACTCCCTGAATAGTTATTCCACATACATCATGCTGACATGGAACAGAGCCATGGTCGGTCCCTGGACAGCTTCAGGCTGCCTCTCTAAATCTAAAGTAGTAAAGGAAAGCGGGGGAGGGGAGGGGACACAGGCCACCACCAATCCTTCCCAAATCTGGCTCAAGCATTAGCGGAAGAAAACACCAAAAGGGATGGCTGGTGTGTCTGTGACCCAGGAGCCAGGGGCTGAGCAAAGAGGAAAGGTTACAATGAGGAGATGGGATATCTGGGAGGGGTTTGGACGGATGAATAGGAGTGTCTGCAGTACTGTAATGGGAAGGGTCAGTAAGTGACTCTGGGGGGGGGGTGTGCACACACCCTTTCCTAGAGTTAAAGCCTCAGCCTCTGCCTGTCTTTTCTCCCCTCTAGACTTCCTCTTGCCTCACGGCCTGAGGCTGTTTCCCACTCTACCCAGGAGGTCACACTTATCTCTGTGTATTCCATCCAAGCTAAGGAAGTGGACTATTACACCGCTGATAAGAAGGCCATTACCCAAAGGGCTTCACAAGCAGGGGGGAGGGGGCCTCAGAGCAACTGCACCTGAGTGTGTGAAATCCTTCACAGCCACCCTCTCTTCATAGCAGGGCAGTGAGGTGAGGATGCTCCACTCCAGGGCCATGCGCTCTCTCTCTCTCTCTCTCTCTCTCTCTCTCTCTCTCTCTCTCTCTCTCTCTCAATTCCAGGCCCCCTCTGGCGCCAACACCTTCACCGTCTCTTTCCCTTTCAGGGCGGAAGCAAGAAGTCACACACCATATGAGACCTTTCTGCCCCCCCCCCCCAAGTCCTTTTCATAATGATGGTCACCACTCTGAGCTCCCAGGGCTCCCTGAGAAGCCAGAAGCTGCCCACAGTCACTGAAGCTGGAGAAAATGGTCTCCTTCCCCTGGGATGGAGCTAGGCCTGATCCATAGCCGGGGTCTCCTCTGAGGCCGGCTCAGTTATGCTCAGTCCCTGTTCCTTCAAGACAGG